GAGGTCACACGCAACCTTACGGAACCCCGCAAAATGGCTTTACATTCTTCTATTATGCGCACTTGACTTCGAGCTTCTCAAAATAAATTCTCGAAACTTCGAAACATGAAAGAAATTTAACGAACGACTTCTAATGTTCTCGTGCTTTCAAGAAAGCACTCCCGCTAATTTTCAACATGCCTAACGAGGGCCGACGGTTACCCGAAGTCTAGACATGAAAATGGCAATAAAATCACCGCCACTGCCATTTTTCTTTCAATTTCGGGCTACCCAAAATAAATGGTCGAGACCTCAAAATCATAAATCGATGCCATCAACGCACTCTCCGCTTCCCGTACTTTCATAAAAGTATTCTTCGGTAATGATCGACTCGATTTTTGAGTCCCGTCGGTACACAGCAAGTAGGCTAATTAACCAACTCAAAATATAATAAAAATGAAAATATTATTAAATTCTGCTGCTGTTATAGTTCTCCTTGTCCCGAAACCAGGATCCCATTTCGGGGAGGGCCCAATTTGCCTTTAAAAATAATTTTCACGACAAAACCAGTGGTGCCCCTCCGGCCATGTATGTACCGCATGAAACCGGGGAGGGCCCAACATGCGCGTTCAAAGAAAAATCTTCCAGTTCCAGCAAAATCCTCTACCCGTAGTTTAAATTTTTTTTTTGGAGGGGCTCGCGCCTCTCTAACCATGTACATGGTTTCGCCCCTGACCGGGTTCTAAGATGGGATATTAAGGCCCTCGGTCTCCACCTGGGAGAAACTAACTGTCTCGAACATACATCTGCCATGGTACAGATATTATATATGATGTGGAATCCAGTACATGACCCCCACCTAGTATACTGTAAAAATATTTGACTGACGCAAGTGCTGAAATGTTGGGGTAGCTGTCGGAGGCTCGACTCTTCTTAAGCTACCAAAATATTCAAGAAATATATCTACTCAGATAACTCTTAAATATTAAATCAAACATATCATATTTAAATAATACTAATTGATGGATAATCACTCGAGTCTAAGCATGCTAACTTATTTTAACAAAATAAGCTAAAGAAACCCTCAAATCTCATGATTTTTATAAAATCATATTTAACTCTAAAAATGTTGAAACTTATCAGTTAAATACAACACATAGACATGCATCTCTAGTTAAAATTTCAGCTCATTATCATGTCATTAGCTTGGTCAACCAACTACATAAACTTTGCACTTAAACATGCATTTGACCCATATAACTTCTCAGAATTTTATAAAATCTCACACTTAGATTCTGAAGCTGAAACTTGGTGAAATTACTCCTAACTCATACAAGAAAATTTCATTAAAATTTCACATCAAGTACACATGTATTGAGGGAGTTCTATGACCACAAAATTCAACATGACATGCATACGGTCTAAAATATATAACTCACTCATTTCTTAACATAAATTCATGAAATTTGATATGCAAGCTCTTAACTCAGACATAAACATGTCCATAAAATTTAATAATTTTATCCTGAGTAGAACTCGAGTTATTCGCGTTTGAAGTCATAGCTGAAATCTACCATATAAAAATCAACTTGCATACTTATCTTAAAAAATCTATAACTCGAGTTATACTAGTCTAAATTACTTGATTCTTGATCCTATGAACTCCACTTTAACACAAGAAATAGCCATAAAAAGCACAATATATCAGGTTATTCATAGCATACTTACAATCGCCTTAAATCTGGACATATGGAACATGCGGGTGAGCTAGGAGTAACTAATCTCTTTTCATGCTTGTAAACACTTAAAAACTGAACTTCTAAGGCATAAAAACACATCATTTTTAACATCATATCATATGTAACACATCCTAAAAAATATTTAACAAACCAACCTCTAAACATCAAGAAAATAGCAAATGAACCCGGGTATGGTCGGTTGTCTTGCTTGTTGCTTGAACTCGCGTTGCTTCAACTTCTTTGCTTCCTACTTGAAACTTGATGACACTAATATCTTCCTTGATGAATGAAGGATGAAGGAGAATGGTTATCTTGTTGATGCCATCAAGAAATGCTTGCTAGAACTCAAAATCACTCGTTGCTATCAAGAAAAAGCTCTCGGTGGTGCTTGATTTTTGCTCACGACTTTCTCTCTTGAAGGGGAGATTATTGATGCGTTTTTTTCTAAGTGTTTGATGGCATTAATAAGGTCTTAAGATAGCTGAATAGAGGTCTTATATTGAGTTCTTTTGGCTTTAGAAATTAGGTGGTTAATGCGGAACATTATGGGGGGACAAACTCTTGCACAGTAACTTCTATGCATCATGGACTTGAGTGCAAGATAGTGGAGTACTAAGGGCTGCCATGTATGAGTTAATAGGGCTGAAGAAGTCTTGTTTTTGCACATGGAGATAAAGGAGACAAGGTCTTACATGGTGAATAAAGAATTCATGCCCATGTTGCTTGATTAAGGCATATAGAATGGTTAATAAGGATTTTGACTAAGGCATGATTAGGACTTAGAATATGACTAATACTCCTTCTAGAACATTTGCATGGCATGATGCTAAGAAAATTATATGGCCATGGTGGACTTTATGCTCGGTACCAATGGCTCGGGCGGACTCGGTCTATGCCTTTCGTGCACTCGACACTATGATGGCTCGAAGCCACTACTATGGCTGAGCACTTGACTTTCTAAAGTTCTATGTGCTATTGTCGAGGCATAAAAGTCTATGGTTCGATAGCCGAAGGCTCGGTTTAGCACAAACGTGCGGCTAGGCACTCGACTAGGGCTTGACTAGGGCTCAGTGCACAAACTCGGATGCTTGGCACGAACAAACGATATTACTTAAATATACTAAGATACATGAATAATATTAACGCAATTAAACACATAATTCACATAATAACTCTTAGAACTACTGAATCGAACAACTCTAGTGTTCCAACATTGCCCAATTCACTTTAAAATCGAGCAAGTGAATTGGTTTTATTTATCAACTGATCAGGGCGTTACACTCTTGTTCACTGAAGTCCGATTCATGGGCAATGATTGCATCAAAAGGTGATTTAACAGTGAAATACCTATTAGGACTAAAATGACATACTAACTTATCCTTTCTCCCTAACTTAAATGAATTCTCCTGATTAACTCAACATCATAAGGGTTGAAATTTTGATCAATCAAGTCCAAGTCCCACTCCATACTCCCTGACTTAATTAGCTCACAAACTCTCACTAGTCGCTCCCCATCACTCTGAAACTGAATGTCTGCCTCAGAAAGAAGCTCTATTAGGTAGCCAAGGAGACTTCTAAATTTATATAGACCTAGCATCTTCTACTTGAAATCTAACCCATCTCTTAAAAGCCTCCCTAAAACTAAGCCAATATTTTTTGGCCCGTTGAAAATCTAATCCTAACCGTTTTAAGGTACATGTTGTGGCCTATAAATAAACCATGTGAAGAACTTGTTATCACGCATAAGATATCACAAAAGACACGTCTAACCCAATAAATATAGGGCTGGTGGTGCAATTTCATAAGGGGCTAGAGAGAAATGGAGTTCTAGCCACACGAGATCGGGAGACCGTCGCCCACATGACGCCAGCTGAGGTAAAGGAGTACAATAGAAGACGTTGAGGTCAAGGGCTGATGAACACACATCGCACATGACCACTACAAAAAAAACTCTTATATTCCAACAGAAATTTTCCGTTGGAATTCTTTATATTTTCCGTTAGAATAGCTATTCCAACGGATATTCCTACGTATAAAAATTTGTGGGAAAAACGGTCGTTGGAATAACTAAAATCCAACGGAAAATCCTATGAAAATAAATTCGTACAACTATTCCAATGGAAAAAATCCGTTGGAATTCCTCAACCATCCAACACTTATTCCAACATAAAATTAAGTTTGTTGGAATATTCATTTGAATTTCCAACAGAAATTTTTGCCGTTGGAATTTTACGTTGGAATTGAAGTGTTTTCTTGTAGTGGACGCATGACACACACAATTGTGATCGATGCGACAAGGCGAAAGCGCGGCGCGGCGATGGCGAATGATGGGATGAAACGTATGTGGACAAGAGACGAGATGGCGAGAAGTCAAAGTTGTTCGTCCGATTTCGTAGGCCGTGTAAGTCTTTACAGAGTTTTCTTAATCGAACAAGTAAGATTCGAATCCGATTGTTAGTTCCGCTGTGAGTAGGATTCTTATCTTAGATTCTCAATTCATTCAAAGCACGATCAACTAGCATTCTTCACCGAAGCCAACATCGTATACACGGACTTTTGAGGTATTGCATCATCGCCGCTTAATGGACTCCCGATCGGCATATTTTAGGTATAATACAACTGTATTAAAAATAGTTGGTTATTTACTGGCAAAAATAGCAATCTAAAAACTTATGATCAACTCCGAATAAGCAAGAATTCAATGTCAAAATGAAATTTTATGAAAATCAGAACGAAAAAAAAAAAGGAAAAATAGGGAAACCTACATATAGATTACCAAGCCTGCAAAAAAGTTGATGTTATAATATAATTATAAACCATTACAAATTGATACGTAGGTTACACAAACTCCATGTAGGAAGGAATATACTTCACCCACACTGCATTCTCTTCTCAGACATCATCTCTCACGAAATGAAGGGCAAAGGAGAAAAGGTAACATGATGCACAACAATACATATTTATGGGGATAACCATTATCGATGATTAAACTGTTAATTAGTTCCGCTTGAGCATGCTTAAGGGTAACGACAATGACAACAACAACAACAACGACAACAACAACAACAACAACAACAACAACAACAACAACAACAACAACAATAACAACAACAACAACAACAACAACAACAACAATAATAATAATAATAATCACCACCATCATCGTCATACGAACGCCAATATGGCTTATACATTCGAAGTCAACTATCAGGATATTGAACACTGAGATATGTTAATACTACACAAACCATAGACTGATAGACACACAACTACCATTTTGATTTATGGAGGAATAATCGAATGGCTAGTAAGCTCAGGAGCAACTCCCAGCCATGGCTCACTTGTTGCGGCCAGCTTTGGCTGCGCCTCCAGTTTGTTTGGTGGGTAAGGTGCATTTGCTGTTATTCTGTACAACAAACAGTGCCTTAATATAAATAACCCCCACAAATTATATAATTTTTGTACATAATTCCTGTATGTTAATCTATCACAATTTTTTTTTTTTTGAACACGAATATTTGTATTACAAAATATCATATTGTTGGTTTATTTTAACAAATATACATTCTTATATTATATAATGTCATTTATTGTTTTATACTATTTTATAGAGTATTACAGTTTAATTTCAATGTATGCATATTTATTGAAAATTTTGTTTTGTTAATCGGATCATGTAGAATCAGTCGCCATATCTTGTGCATTGCAATTAGTTAACACAGTTAATCAAAATATTTTTTATTTTCTACTTTCTTTGTCTCCTAAAATAAGTAGGATGGTACGTCTTTATGTTTGGTCAAAAAGTAATGGTATACGAGCATAAATTAAATGATTTGCTCAAGAAAATATTACTCAAACCAATTAAATATTGGAAAATGCTAGTATCCAGTATGGAACCATTCTGTCAAAATTTGTAAGCGCTAGATCATTAGAGCATCTCCAATCGTATGTTAATTGCGAGATTGTAAAAGCAATCTGATAAAAGAACTTCTCCAGCGGTATTTTTTCTGCTTCTATTTATGCTGATGTGGCATGAAAGAGATAGAATTATTCTAGAAGTCCTTCTACATGTAGAAGTCCTTCTAGATGTGATGAGTCTTTTTTTCCCTTTGTTTATTTTTTTTTATTTTATATTATCCTTATATAATTCATAAGCAATAAAATTTAATAAAATATATAGGAGTATATAGTATTAACTAAACAAGACTAACAAAACTTGAAGAAAAAAATTAATTTATAATGTAAGTCGTTGATTAAATTATAGTTTGTTGGTATTTATTTGAACACACTTATCAAAGATAAATTAATTTACATAAAAAAAAATAACAGAAAAAAATTGAAAGACTTCTAAAAACATATTATAATTTTAATGGTATATATTTTGTTATAAGTATGTATTAAAATACATAGTAGAGGAGATTTTAAAAAGAAAAACTTGTATAGACATTTACTGTGTGTAGACCATTGGAGAGTTATTTATGAACCTATCATTCTATTCTATCCACGTGGATAGAAGCCATCTATTATATACCACAATTCACGTTCATCATTAGAGATGCTCTTATGTGACCGTCACGGATAGTTGATCTAACGGTACAAACCCCATCCGAATGTTTCCGTAACCCACTCGTAGAATCTCATTTAAAATATTTCCACTTTTTGAAGAATTCATTTGAAATTCATATGTATCCAATGACTTGATTCCGCTTATGTATATATCCTAATAAGAAGAGTAATTTTTTTTTGTTATCAGCGGTTGTATATTCATTGGTACCTGTGCTTCCTCTTCTCCAGGAACCGGGCCAGCGAGTTCTTCCTGGCAATCGGTAAATCTGCAAACCCAAGGCCAATGAGAAAAAAGATTACAACCGAAATACATAAATTATAACCGGCATAAAGAAAGAAAATGGCTGAGCATCACGTGTGCGGCGGGCAAAGGCGGGTTTGGGGCGGGTCTGGGCGGCTATCATCAGGATCTCTTGGGCCTTGGCCGCCGGAAGGCGGTTAAAGACCATAACCTGACCGGCATAGAATATGGTCATCTGTGGAGTTTCCACATCACTGCAAACGCCCAATTATATTATATTTGCCCATAAATTGGAGAAGAAGACAGAAAACGGAAGCATTTGATAAGGTATATATAAGAGTCTTAAACCTGAGATTGGGTTTCTCTTCTTTCACGTCTTCACACCCCGATTTCTTAATTAATTGAGAACCTGATTAATCATTTATTTCCACAGATTTTGAGCGAAATACAACACCAAATATAACATAAAACCAGAAACCCACCAAAATTAGAAACCAAATCTAGCAACGAAAATGATTACACAATAAAAAATATAAAAATACGAATTAGCCACACCTTTGTGAGTATGGAAGCGGAGGTTGAGCTCATCCCCAAAGCTGCCCTTCTCCTTCAAGTACTGGCTCAAAAGGGAACACGTGCGGGAGAACTTAGACCTCCCGCCGGAAGGCCTGCCGGAGTCGACAATTTCAGTGGACCCCATTTTTCTCCGGCGAAGGTAAATAAATAAAGAAGCCAGATAATTATAAAAGGGTTAGATGGATGTATTTTGCATTTACGAACTGCACGGAGAAATATTTGGGCAAAAGGATTTGTGGGGATTTGTGTAAGTAATATAATAATAATAGTTATGTGGGGGTGTGAGAGGGACAGGTACCAGGAATAATATTAAATTAAATAAAAAATAAAAGAAAATTAAAATAAAGAAGCACGAGGAATATGTGTTGCTAATTATAACTATAAAAATAAGGTAGAAGTAAGTGGTACGCCAAACGGCTCTTTACGTGATCATCACAGGGTGGTCTCGTTAAAGTTGGTATTGCCGTATTGGAAACAACCATTTTAAACACGTGTTGTAGTCGCCACCCCCTATAAACCCAATGAACTTTTGCACCATCCTAAACAAATTATCTTGATCTTGTGATTGGAAAAATTTTTTATTTTACCATGAAAACACTGCAGTTCTTTTTTTATTTCTTTTTTTTTTTTAATTTCCTGTTATTGTTAAAATATGAGTTTTTTTACCACTAAATCACTAAAAACATCTCCAACGCTTTAACGAGCCCGAACATAGGGAAAGGCAAGTTGGACGATGGCCTAAGGCCCATTTACAAAACGGGGTCTCCTTTATATTCATAAATAAATTACAATTATTTATAGAAGACATTACACGATACACTATATAATATCATTTTTATTACATTTATACTAATTTCTTATATATAATTTTCGAATATGTTGAACTTACGTGGCATGCTTGCATGCTTCGTGATCTTAGATGTCAAAGTTCCATGTTTCATTTTTTAGATTGGGTAGATTTTAATATAATTCTCATTCAAAAACAATTATGTTCAGATTACCATAAATAAGTTGATTTATTTATGATCATTTAGATGTATTAATTGTATTCCAATATCACTTCATTATAAACATTGAATATAAATGTATTTTAAAAGTTGATAACTCTTGTAATTCTTATCGATTTTACATGTGTAATACATCAAATTATTCATCTTTTAATGAGCTTCGAATTAATCAGTATCCGGTTACCCTTCTCTCTAATGGGAGTTACCTTCTCTCTAATGGGAGTCACCTTCTCTCTAATGGGAGTCAGTGTCGTAGATCAATAAACATCAATCGTTCTATTTCAATCTAAGCATTGCTAGTACCTCAGTTTTTTTAGGTGGTAAGGGTGTTTTCTTCTTATAGAGGTCAGCAGCAATGGGGGAGCGCGATGATAGTTTGGAATCGCTAATGGGGAAATTTTCATTATCGAAGAAAGAATTTATGGTCACTGATATTGAGGATCAAGATGTTCGGCTTAGTGAAGACGAGTGTCGGCGAAGCCTGTTCGTAAAGATCGTTGGTGACAGAAAAGCTAACCTAATTGGGGTGAAGAGAGCGATGGCCAGAGCCTGGAAATTAGGAAACTCGTTGGAAGTTCAAGAGATTAGTGAAAATTTCTTTCAATTCATCTTCCCATCTTATGAAGATGTAGCTAAGGTGGCGAGAGACAGAAATTGGGTATTTGAGAATCAATACCTAATTCTCAAAGACTGGAAATTGGGGCTTAATGGCACAGATACCTGTTTCCAAGAGCTCAGCTTATGGGTTCAACTACAAAACATCCCTCTGAATTGGCTATGCACAGTTGTTGGATTAAAAGCTGGTAAAATCTTCAAGGATGTCAAAAATGTTAATGTGGCCAGAGCGGGAGGCCAGGATGGCAGAATCCTTGCAGTCATAGATCTCAAGGAACCTCTGCCAAGGTGGACTCAAATAAGACATGGAGATACTCGGATTATGGTGACACTGAAATATGAGAAACTGGTAAATTTGTGCTACTATTGTGGGCGCATAGGCCACCTAGATAGGAGTTGTGAAAAAGGACTGATGATATTGCGAAGAAGGTGGTAAGGGAAGGCCAATACGGTGATTGGATTAAAGCAATGGAGGGGGGTCTCTGGGTGGACTCAATTAATCCAAGCAATGACTCAGAATCCAGAAATATTCCTCAGCCAAGTGACATAGCCAATGACCAGCATCATGTAAGTCCACCAGAACCTAAGGAACTTGCAAGTAAACAGCTTCTCAATCTAATGGATCGAACAATCCAGCTACCAGTCAAAAACCAGTTCTAGCAATGGCGGAATATTCAACATATGCGGGTCAAGAAACAAGGAATGCTGTAAACCCAGTTGAGACAGTAGCTAAACAGCAAAACCTTATGCTTATTGCTGAAGAAGAGATAGTTCCAGAGAGCAGCAACTTTCCCACATCAGAACTCCAACTAATGGTGAATAACACAGAGGAGGAATCCAGAAAAGTTAAAACCTGGAAAAGAAAAGTTGCCAAGGAAGGGAGATTAATGAGAAATTCCCATGCTATGGAGACTGATCCATTATTGAAGGGGCAGAAGAGAGGTTTGGGGGAGTCAGAGCAGCAAACTCATGAAGTAGGGAAAGCAAAAGGAGAGCTAGTCCAATTCAAAGAAAGCTAAGCTCAAAGGTACCATGGTGGAGGAAGCCAACCTCAAATGGCTCCCAAAGAACCAATGAGGGCTGTGGTGTGGAACTGTAGAGGGCTGGGTGGGCCCTCTACAGTTCCCCAATTGCGAGAGGCCATTGTGTCTCATCACCCAAATTTTGTTTTCCTATCAGAAGTTAAAAAACAAAAAATTTATGTTTTTAAAGTTTGTAAGAGATTAGGTTTTGATAATCAATGGCTCTATATGGAACCTCAAGGCACCAAGGGAGGCTTACTTCTTTGTTGGGATAACAATATTGAGATTCTAGCTCTCATTGGCAATGACTGTTGTATACAAGTCCAGTACAGGAGCAAGGGCACTATACAAGCAGAGTGGGCTATCTTTGTTTATATCAATACCAACAAGCAGCTAAGGGAAGGACAGTGGCAGTTTTTGAGAGAGGAAAAAAAGAAGTGGTGGGATTGCTGGATCATGATGGGAGATTGGAACGACATTAATAGTCCGAAGGAGAAGAAAGGGGGCAGAGAAAGAGTTGTTTCCAGCTGCCAGGGCTTCAATGAGTTTGTAGCTGATAAGGGGATGTGCCTATTGCAAATGGAGGGATATAAGTTCACCTGGGGGAACAATAGAGAGGGAGAAGGTTTTGTGGAAGAAGTCCTTGACAAAGCATTTGTCTCTTACCAATGGCTGCTGCAACACCCCCAAGCTAAAGTCAGTAATGTGTTAAAAAGTGCCTTTGACCACAGCTTACTGCTGATTGAAGATGGTACAAAGCCAAGAGCTAAAAATAACAGATTCCATTTTGATAAAAGATGGATCCAAAGAGAAGGGGTAGAGGAGGTGGTGAAACAAGCTATGAAGGAGGAAGCACAAGGAACACCAATGTTCAACGTTAAGGAAAAAATACAAATACAAGGATGGCTCTTTACATGTGGAACAAAGCTCTCAAAATCAGACAGGAGGGAGGCTATTGATACATTGACTCTCAAGCTGGTGAAATGAGAGAATTGGGTGGAGAAAGGAATTGGGCTGAGTGGGAAAAAATCCAGAAAGAACTTGATTCAGCCCATTGCTCAGAAGAACAATTTTGGCTCCAGAAATCAAGGGTAATGTGGCTCAAGGAAGGAGACTTGAATACCAAATTCCTTCATGCCATGGTTGTTCAAAGGAGAAAACAGAACGCTATCAAAAGGTTGGTGGAAGGCAGCAGGGAGCTCACCTCTGAAGTAGATATTGCAAACCAAATTCTGAACTTTTATGATAATCTTTTTACCTCTGAGGGTTGCTCTAATGAAGATACTGCCTTCAGCATATTTAGTAGGTCATCTCCCCTTCCATGAACAAAGTTCTTACAGCTTCTGTTGGTGAGCTGGAAATCCAAAAGGCTCTATTTCAAATGAACCCATCCAAGGCCCCTGGAGAGGATGGCATGATAGCCTTATTCTATCAGAGATTCTGGCCCATCCTCAAAGAAGATGTATGCAAAGAAGTGGTCAGTTTCTTTGACTCAGGACAGCTTCTGAGATATTGGAATCACACCATAGTTGCCCTAATTCCCGAGTGCTTAAATCTAGTGTCCATCTCCAACTTCAAACCAATTTCTCTGTCTGTTTATAAGATCATAGCCAAGATTCTGGCTAACAGGTTAAAGGGGTGCTTGGACAACTGCATTAGTCAATCTCAAACAGCATTTATCCAAGGCAGGCAACTTCTGGACAATGTGATCATAGCCCAAGAATGCTTCCATTACTTAAACAGACACCGTACTGGAAGAAATTGTTTCATGGAACTCAAGCTTGATATGCTCAAAGTTTATGACCGTGTGGAATGGAAAAGTGTATGCAAGACCATGGTGAGGCTGAGGTTTGATGCTGTTTTTATAAAATGGGTTTATGCTTGCATCTCAACTCCTACATTTTCTTTTCTGGTCAATGGCAAAGCAGTGGGATACTTGAACCCTTCAAGGGGTCTGAGACAGGGGGATCCTATATCCCCCTATTTTTTTCTGATCATTTCTGAAGTATTCTCATCTCTTTTCAAAGGAGCAGCTGATAGAGGTTGTTTCAAGGGCCTCAGAATTGTTAAGAATGGGCCCACCCTTACTCATCTGCTATTTGCAGATGACACTTTAATCTTCTGCAAAACTGAGGCTCAACAGGTCAGAGTGCTTATGGATATTTTGAATGTGTATAAGGAATTCTCGGCACAAAAGGTAAATATGTCCAAATCCTCAGTTTTTTCAGTAGAAATACCTCTAATCAATTAAAGGTATCTGTCTGCAATACTATAGAGGGAATTGAGGCTCACAATTCTACAAGGTACCTCGGCCTTCCTCTAGGAATTGGTAAGTCTAAGAAGGAGACTTTTGCTTACATCACTGAGGCTGTGAAAAAAAGACTGAATAATTGGAAAAACAGGTATTTATCCCCTGCGGGGAACGAGGTCCTGATTAGGGCTGTGATCAATGCCTTACCTGTTTTTTCAATGGCTTGTTT